CTTTGCTTCAGTGGGACCTCTAAGAGAAGGGCTTCTGAGTAAGCCCTTGGACAATCTAACAATTGAGCATGCAGGAGAGGAGGTGATAGCCGCCATCCTAAAGGCAGGCTCCTGCGCCTGAGAAGACAACTCACTCTAACCCTGAGCATCCTCTCTGGATTGGTTGTTCTGGGTCTTTTAAGAAGCAATGGACATTTTCTTTTAGGAAGAAATGACATCTTTACTGTTTTGCTTGTTTAAAAAAATGTACACTTTTTTCTCGAAGAGAGTAAAATGGTGCTCTATTCACAGATGACACAATTGTTCTCATTTCCCCCAAATCTAGTTTGTCCACCCACCAATGCATCCCCCTCACAGCCCAAAGGGAGAGCTTTGGAACAGTTTTAAAGCTCATTGAGTAACTGTGTAAAGCCCTTCCCGGATCTGCGGTACCCAAGGCATTCTATTTTTTGGACTCTGTCCCCATCCAGCCTCCGTCCTGCCCTTTGCTGGCCCTGCAATCCTGAACTACTTGTACTTCCCTGCATGTGCCATCTAACGCATGCCCCTGGGCTTCTGTTCCTGCACCTCCCTCTGCCCACGATGCTCCTTTTCCCCTCTTGGCCATCTGACAACTGCACCTCATCCTTAATGTCCCAGCCCGGCCATGATGCGCCTGGGGTCTGCAGTGAATTTGGGGGAGCCTTCCCCATGTTCCCACTGCAACCTGGAAATAACTTCACTGTGGTAAGTCGCTCATCTCCTTAAATTTTTCTTCCTGTGCATTTCTCCTGCCTAAAATATGGGGTCTTATCTTTGCAATCAAGACCTCTAACTGCCAGCCCAATGCCTTTTCTGGAATATAAATGAAAATTCAGAATCCATTAATCAAAAGTGGCTGGCATATACATATTCACTGAATTCAACTAAGCTGAAGTGAAAGATGATCTGTGTTGCCCTAACATGCTTCTCTATAGTTGCCTGCCCTAGAGCATGCTGTCACTTTCCTGCTCACTCAGCCATCCCAAGAGATCTTGCCACAGTCTAATTCTAAACCCAGTAGGAAGGCTCCTACAAGCTCCTGCTTAGGTTACAGCTTTTCTCCACTGATCATCTTCAGCCTCAACCCGGCTGATTGCCCTATGCTGGCCATACCGAACTGTCTCCAATGTCTGAATGCCCCATGCTGTTTCGTGCCTCAGGGCCTTTGCACATGCAAACTGCTATCTCTGGAAAGACTTCCTGAAACTTGCCCATTTGGCATACTCCTGCCATCTTTAAATCAGCTAATGTGTTAGAAGCCTTCTCTGGAGCAACATAAACGAAGTGCTTAGAGTAGTGTCTAGCACATAGTATGTACCCAAGACAGGCCTGAGAGTCCAGAAATCACCTTCATCTTCATACCATCCCCATTGGCCAATCAGAGCATCAGAACCCCCTTCTTGCAGTAGACTTCGAATGGGCTGCTTATACACACACGCCCACAAGAAACAAGGCTGACAGGTTAGGGCTCCAGACAAGGCTAGGACTCAAAAGTCCATCTCCGTCACCCTTTCCAGAAACTCAAACCAAATGTTCTTATCTAACTCTGTGGGGCCCAGATACATGTGGGCTCCAATCCCAGCCTGGTCATTTAACCTCTCCGAGCCTCAGTTTCCTTGTTTAAAAAACAGATCTTGCTACCATCTAGCTTTCTTATGAGCACTAAATGATTTATGAAATGTTTGGTATTTAACGAACATTCCTTTTTTTCCTGCATAGAAAGTGCATAAAGATGAGCATTTTAAGTATGCACAGTGCATACACACATGTGCGTGCATGCGCGCGTACACACACAAAATCCATGTCAAAATCACGTTGACATATCAATACCCTGAAGGCAGAATTACGCCTTCCCTCTGAGTCACATCAAAGGAACATGCTCAGACTCTTATTTCCAGTGTGGGAACTCTAAGCACAGATGGAAGGTCAGCTCCGACATCTCTCCTGTTTTCAAGTCACGCTTGTCAGAGGTACATTTAAAAATACTGTGACACCTCATTCCACCTTGGAAACATCTACTCACATGCATAGACTTTGTGCGTGTGTGAAAGGAGATGTGCAATACTCCATCCCTTTTCTTTCTTTTGTCACTAGTTCAAGTCTCAGTAACACAAATGTTTAGCAAAAACCAGGGTGGAGGCATTGTAAAAATCACTCGAAGATATTTATGTTTTGATATACTCATATCTAACAGTATGCATTTGACTTTAGGATATGAAAGCACTGTTTATCTATCAATTTAATAAATAACTTTTTCATGATAATAGTTAAAGATGGCAAAGACGTGATGGAAAAAACACTTTAATTCACTGCTGGTATGCATGCTACTAGGAAAAACTGTTTGAGACTAATTTGGCAAAAGAAATCGAGAGTCTTAAAATATAAAATTCTCGAACTCAATAATTCCACTTTGGAGAATGTGCCCCCAGGAAGTAATCTGCATGTTGGCAAGAGATTTATATACCCAAGCCTTCATTGTGGTATTTTCACAGTGATGAAGAGTCAAAAAGAATCAAATGTCCAAAAATAGAGGAATGAGTTAGTGAACTGCAGTCTGTCTACCTGGTGGAGTAAGAGGACAGCTGTCGCTGATGACACTGTACCGTCCTTTTTTAACACTTACCTTTCCCTTTATCACCAGATTGGGAGCATCGTGAAAGTAGAAATGTAGACAGATGAATGAATGAATGAATGAATGAATGAATGAATGAATGAATATACACACGCATGCGTGAATGCATAACTTAGAGAGATATATAACAATTTGGAAATATACACGTGATGCAATATTAGATAAAAACACAAAATAGAACAGTGTAGAGAGATTACAACTACTTCAGACCATACAGAAGGCCTAAGGAGATTGGAAGGAAATAGTCTAATGCATTAAGTGACAGAGAGTAACTTCTAAACAACTACGTAATCTTTCCTGTTAAATTTCGGTGCTGCTTGAATGTTCTGTAACCAACGAATAATAAGATGGGACCTGTCTCTTGAGGTTTGTATGAAGATCAAACACTGAGTACAGTGCTGAGCACAAAATGAAGTCTTCATTACATGTTGAAGAGTTTCAAAAAGTACTGTATGATTGCTTTTAATTAATTTAATACGGCACATTTATCTTCTCTCCTGCCACAAACCACTCCGAAACAAAGTAACGGAATAAAAAAGTCTAAACTCGCAAAGAAAAGAACAGGAACGAGCAAATAGCAGACAAGGGATGTCAGCAAATTTTTAGATGAAGAAAAGGAGAAGGAGGTGGGCTAACAGACACAGCAGCGTGCAATAACTAACACCCCAGGTACCTACAGGCGGGGGTGCGGACGAGACCGATTTGCTCCACGGATCCCCCTGGGAGCCAAGAAGCAAGAGGTGCCATGGAAGGCAGGGGTGAACGTGGGGCTGAAAACAGAAGCATCAGCTGATGATCCCTGTCCACGGTGGTTGGTAATAATAGCAGGAGATTGCTCTCACCCTCGTTGGCTCCCTAGTGAGCCGTAACAATTAATACCCTTGTTTCAACCCCAAGTCTTGATATTACTAGATTTTGAGAGTGAAAGAGGAAAATTGGAAAGGAAGTGCTAAAGGAGAGCCCCGAGTTCTCATCTCTCAAAGCAGGAACTCAACAGTTACTTCCAAAATTGACAAATCAAGGAATAGCAGGATTCGTGTATTATTTAGAAACACAGAGGCCACGGTGAGAAAAAAATAGCCAAAAGAGTTGACCGTGGTGGCCTCCAGGAGTGGGAATGGAGGTGGGTGGAGGTGAGACAGGGAACCAGTTGGGTTTTTTTACACCAGAAATCTTTTGGGACTATTTGATTATTTCAATCATTTGTACATTATCTTGATAAAACTCAAATCAAAGTCTGGCTCGGACATGTATTAGTTGTTTGGCCTTGGGCTTAAGTTATTAACCTCTCTCTAGCCCCACCTCCACCATCCATGACATGGCAATAACAATTCCTGCCTCACAATATTGCAGCAAGCTAACACCAGATCCCATGTGCAGAGTGCTTAGATCTAAAGTCTTAGGCATAAAGTCTTAAAGTGCTTGGAGATAAAAATTCTGTATAGAATGTGCAGGAAAAAAACATACATACATACATATATGCAATCTTCAAAGTCAGCCCTTTTAACTGAGTGGAGGAAACTGACAACACGGGCTGAGGACATTGACCCTTTCAGCCATAGCCTTGACTGTAATGACTCCCTCCTACACAAGCTATATTCTGTGTCTTCAGCCAGGACGGTAATGACAGCTGTCCAGAGCCCCTCAGACATCATGTCACAGGACAGGAATTAACGTTGCTTGGGCTCTCTTGGAGCCTCTCATTTGCTGACTATGGGAAGGCAGAAAAGGGATGTGCATCGAGACCCACACTCGCCTGCCTGCCTCCACCTCACCCCATCCTGAGAGGTCCCACCGCACCCACCTCCCCGAACTTCCTGCCACCTCGTGAGCAGACAGGGCATGGGGTGGGAGCCCGAGGACGACATGCAGGAGGGGGTGGCAGCCTCAGCCTCCCAGGGCCAGTGCCCAGTCTTAGATGTCACCATGCCTGTGTGCTGATGGCTGTGAGCCCCAACTCTTCTGCACGTGGGAGAGCTGACCTCTTCCACTTTCTGGCCACAAATAGCACTATTCTTGACATTGGCCCAGGAGTGTGAAGGTCTAGGCAATACTCAATGGGGCCAAACAATCCTCAGAATGAAAATTGGGAGAACTGGGCTTAAGTCCCACTCTGTTTCCAATTAATTGCGTTATTTGGCCAAGGTATTGAATTCCTACGAGTTGGTTTCCTCATCTGTGAAATGGGCTGGTATTTGCCCTCTCTACGCATGTGCAATTGATAGGAGCTTGAAGGAGTGAACGTGAGAGGGTCCTGGGAGCTATCAACTACTGGACAAAAGCAAGGAGGAAGAAGAGAAAGATGAGCTGCTAGTCTCATCAGAGAGATTGAAGACAGCGCACTTACCTTTCTCTGTGAGGGAGGGCAGAACCACCAAAGGGCAAAAACTGGGAGCATCATTTTGAGCAACTGAAAAGAAGAAGAAGGCAGCCTTTTAGCTCTTCTTCACCCCTAATATCATTGAATTCTGAAGGCATTAACAGAGGTACAAGTTGGTGGTAGGAAAGTTTTACTCGGGACGTAGACGTGGACAGTGCGTTGGGCCCCAGCACCACTCCTGCATCAGCGAGGGTGGGCTAGGTTATGCTCAAGTGACAATACCACATCTCAGGGGCTAGAAACAACACAGGCTCCCCTCTCCCTTGCACCACATGTCCACTGCGGGTGGGCTGGGGCTCTGGTCCCTCTCGTCCTCCCTCAGGCCCAGGCGGAGGAAGGCTGCGCTGCTGCCCTTGTCTCACAGATGCTGCAGCAGGGGAAAGAGACGCAGCACACTTCACTCCTGCTCTCACAGTTTCTGCCCACAAGTGACACACCACACCTGTCGTTTTCACATGTCACTTTCCAAAGCCGGGGCGAGGCCGGGGATGAAGATGTGCAGTCCCACCATGCTCCAGAGAGCAGAGAGTCAGAGCCGTGGGGAACAAGAGAAACGTCCACGCCATCACTGACGGACTGCTCACTCGGGCTCTGCTCTCTGTGCTCACAGCGGGGACAATATAGCCCAGCTTGAGAATTCCTGTGAGCGTCACACGGGATAACGCGGTGCCGGGCACAGGGCAGGAGCTCAGGAAATGACAGCTATTAATGGCAGGCAGCACAGCAGGGGGGACAGAGCCCGGACTTGGAGGGCAGAGTGACCTGGACTCAAGCCTCCATATGCCTCTTAGAAGCAGGGCAGAGGGACAAGTTATCTGACTTCTTCCAGACCCGGTTTCAGCATCGGTAGAATAAGGATGGCGTAAGAATTAAATGAGAAACCGTGCATACCCAGTAGGTGATCTGGAAGTCCTAATTATCTTCTCCCCCTTCCCCTTCCCTTATGGAACAAATCTGAATCTTCCAAGCTTCAGCATTCTTTTCTCACGATGGCCCAAACTAGGAGTGCACACAGGGTCTCCTCCCTCTCTGAGCTCTGTGTAGCATGGTCAGAGGCCAAGGGTCAAGGGCAGGGGTTCTAGGGTCAGCGGCCTAGTGCAAGATTCACTTGGCTGCTTTCCCCTATGCGACCTTGAGCAAGTTACCTAGCCTCCCTGGCCTCAGTTTCCTTGTCTGTAAAATGGGAGTAACGACAGTCCCTATCTCAGGGTCACGAGCTTTAGATGAGTCGGTACATGCAAAGCTTTGGGCATACAGTAAGCACTCAATAAATGCTGGCCATTATTCGCTCTTAATATTACCCTTTTACAGTGACACACTCTTGTCATTGTCTCTTGTCCTTGTCAGCCCGCATGAAAAGCCTCAGGTCAGTGTCATGCTCTGTTCTGGACCCCAAAGTCCAGGCTTGGGTCCCCTCACTTCCCATCTCCCTCTTCTGCCTTCTTCTCTTCGATCAGGTACACCATGACCCAGCCTCTCTGAGTTCTAGAATCTCCAGTTGTATTGCATCTCTCCCACCTGGCTCCATCTGCCTAGATACAGCTGCTCCCAGTCATTCTATGGCCTTGGTTCCCAGACTCTAGCAGACACGGGAGTCCCTGGAGGGCTTGGTAACACACACCGTGCTGGGGCCCACCCCCAGAGCATCTGACTCAGCAGGTCTGGGGTGGGACCTGAGATCTGGCATCTCTAACAGGTGATACTCATGCAGCTGGTCCAGGGACACACTTTGAGGATCCCTGAGCTAAGCCTTCTGTCGTCCCACATTCTGTGAGCTCTTCAGACAGAACGCAGAATTACAAATAGCCACCCACCATGCTCCACTACACCCGGCGGGCCAGCTCGGCACCGTACACCCCACCTGTTTATTTATATGTCTGTTTTTCCTGGAAGAAAGTGGTTCTCAGAGCAAAGAGCTTGTGAGTTCGCGCAGTCTTCAGAGAATAATTTGACTATCTATATCAAGGGCATTCAAATGTCCACACCCTTGGACCCAGTAATTCTGCTTCCGGAACTTTGTCTTGAAATTCAAAGCAGGCTCGGTCCGCAAAGGAAACGTTTAGACAGTACTAACGAAACACTAGAAACTCTATAAATGTCTAACACTGTGAGAACAGTTGGGCGAGCTACCATACCATACAGGGAGAATTACTGTGCAGCACATCTCAGCAGAGCATCTATCACATCCTTCTGCTGTTGTGGCTTTACTTGCTTTTTCTCACCCACTATTGCTGTTTCTTAACAAGACACTATTAGCCTTTCGGGTGGGACCTTCTTCACTGTACAAGAATAGCTGAGCCCTGAAAGTTCTCAGCTTCACTGGGCCCCAGGGCACTGAAAACCTCAATACCTTCAGTCCCTGGGAGGATGGAGAGTCCCTCCTACTGAGAATCTTACTGTATAAGCCTGAGCAAGTTGCTCAGCTAATTCTACTTGTCAATAAAGGAATGCAAACCTTTCTTCTTCCCAACGCTGCTTTCAGTAGCATCAAGTTGGTAGCTTGAAATTGGCCGTAGTGGGAGTATTTACACCATAGCAAGCAGCAACCACTACAAATCAGGGCTTCCCCCCACCCTCGCCAGTTGTAAAATATTCAGCAGCACAGCACAGAATGGCGGTGACAATAGGCCCTGGGTTGTCTGGGGACTAAAGAAGATGTTGTCTGTAAGATGCCAGCCCAGCGCCTGGAGCAGACTCTGTGCTCAGTGGACGGCGGAAGCTGTTGAGAGGTTGTGAATGATGATGAAGAACGCACTGTACAGCGAACTCTACCTCCATGTGGTCGTCTCTGCGTGGGTTGCAGAGAGGCATAATTAACAGAGCTTGTCATTTCCTTTCCAGGTTATGTTTCTGTGTCTAGAATTGCTACAGGAACCAAGTGCCTTTGTTTAGCAGAAGAAGAGAGGAACTATGAGGCTTCGATTGTTTTTTTTTAGAAGCCACATTTGACTTTGTAAACAAACCAAAGACCCTGCCCTCACTTGCAGGCCACGCACAGCAGGGGAGAGAATGGGCAACTCAGTTCCCTTCAAAGAGCGGAGGGTACCCATGCCCCAGACGCCCGCCCCTTCCAGGAAACCTGGGCTCTGGGCCGCTGCTTGACCGCAGAGCAGCCTGCACTCCCACTCTGGATGCTAAGAACGCCTCTTCTCTAGGCCCCACTGCCAGGCAGGGGCTGCAAACAGCCTCATTTGCATCCACAGTTGCTCAGCCTGAGCCTCTCAGTTCTGTGCTAAAACACATGGAACTTTCTGTTTACTGTGGACAGCAAAGTCAGAGGGCGCGTTGCTGCGGGCTCCCTGGGGCCCCCACTTGGCTCTCCCTGCTCAGGTTCTTGTCTCTCTCCTGGATTCTAGCAGACTCAGCTGCGGCTGCAAGGGCCGGAACATGGCCTACCCCCTCGATAACCCGCTGCCTGTCCCTGCCCAGTGGCCGCTGCTCCCTTCACCCCGAGCTCCCTTCTCCACGTCCAGATTTTCCCTGAGTCACTTTTGCAGAATCCCTCGTACGACAGACTCCTTGTTCTCCTTTCATGTTCCAGAAGCCCCTGTGGATCCCACCACAGCTCTGAGTAGTTCTCTGATTACAGAGGGAATAATTACCCTCTCATGAGGAGATAGGACCAGTGCCAACCTCACAGGTGGGCTGTAAGCAAATACAGGGACAGCCCTTGAAAGTTGTTTCTGACATAGAGTAAGTGCTTAAGAAATGTTCATTTTCTTTCACGTCTGCCCCCAGCCAGGCTAAAGCCTTTGGGGAGGACCTTCTGTCCCCTGTGCTTCCATGGTTTTGACACATAGTAGGAGCTCAATGAATGTCACCTCCCTTCCCCATCCTCAGTGTGGTTCTTCTGAGACAGGACCTGGCCTTGGCTCTCAGCCTGGAGTTAAATCAGGTGGTAGTCACTCAGTACAGATGTCAGTACACTGAATGATCAAGCCCTGGATTTGAAGCAAGGGCAAAGTCTACTATGGAAATATTTCGCAAAAATTCCTTTGGAAAATGTATGTCTCCTGTGCCAATGCTGACTGTGAGGGGAAGATTAGGATCCTATCAACACTTCAAGGGACAGGCCCAAAGGCTCCCACTCTGAGCAGCCTTCCCAAGCCCTGTGGAGGCTATTTCTACGACTGTGTGCCTGATGGTCTAATACAAAGACAGGAGGGGAAAAAGTAGTGATGATGTCAGCTTGCGTGCTGGGATTCTCCAACAGTACATTGGCATGGTTTTGTCTACTACAGAAAACAATACAAGGCCAGACTAGTGTTGGGAATCCAATGGGTGAGTATGTTTTGTCTCAAAATATATCATGAATCAAAAGGTGATTTTGTACTGGTCAATGGGCCCCAGCTGAGAGAATGTCTAAATTATTAAACCCATCTCCTAGAGTAAGATTCCTTTCCTCTGCCTGGCTCTTAGGAGGAGAACATCCATGAGTCTCAGGATTTACTGCACCACTCACTTCTGACGTAGACAACTTGAGGAAGAAAGACCCGTGAGAACCTGGTTCTGCTCTGAGGGAGAGCCACGTGTCACACCAGGCCATCAACACCCTCTGACAGCCAGCCCTCTTCCTTCTGTTCTTCTCAAATGGGAAATACGGAGCCACTTGGCCCAGAATGGCCACACGTCATGTGCATCCCAAGGTGTTTTCTACCCAGGGGTCATGAGAGATTGATACCATTTTAGCATTTTTCATTTCTCTCCCCACACCCTAAACACTGAAAGCCGGCATCACACAGTGTGAGATGGCCTGGTTGTGCAGCTCCACGCCAATGGGCCAGGGAGGCTGCACGAGGTGGTCCCTGAAGCATGAAGGAGGGCCTGCAGGAGTCTTTTAGCATGGATTTCCACCACTCCAAAGAAGAAGTAACTTCTTGTTCCCATGTTCCCATAGCACTTTATGTATAAGACTGTTCTAGTACTGAGCCTATTATGCTATCGTTAATCGGACATGCCGATGTCTTCCTCACTAGGATGTGAGCGTCTAAGAAAACATGACTGTATCTTATTAACCTCACATTTCCCAGTGTTCAGCACAGTGTATGACCCAGTATAGACACTCAATAAGGTTTCAAAGCTTCTAGGCTTACGACGAGAGCGATCCAGCACCAGAATGGTTTATTTATGTAGAGTCTGTAACTCCTCCTTCACGTGTGAGTGCCTGGAGGGCAGGAATCATGTCTTAGTCATACTCAGCCATATAAAATAGTGATTTAGAGTCAGAAAGAACTAGATGGGAATCCTAACTCTGTTGTTTACCTGCTACATGACCTTGGGCAAGTGACAACCTCCCTGAACCTCTGTTTCTTCATCTAACAGTGGTTGTGAGGATTAGAGGAGATGCTTGTAAAGTGCTTGACATCCAGCCAGGCACACAGCGAGAGCCCAGTGAATAGAGGCTGGATTTGTAAAACCAGAGGCCCCCAAGCATAGTTGATGCTCGGTCAGTGTCTGTTGAATGAAAGCACCTCTGCGAATTTTTAATTCCCTGCCCTGTAGCTCCTAGTCAGAACTCCTGAGTCCCAGCCTGACCCCACAGAATATGTGTTGGAAAAAGCTAGTGGTCTGTGCAGTCAGGTGAAAAGAAACAGAACAGATGGAATGAGTTGGGACAGTGGGCACCTTAGGTTCTTTTCCTTGCCAACTCCTGACAAGAAGTCATAACATCCTGGTCTGATTCCCAGGATATTTCTGAACAATGAATCATTTCTCAAGCTCCTTTTTACCCTAGTCTTCCCTGAGCAATATGAAGATGGGAAATGACATTTTTAAGCCTTTTGTGGGGTTCAGAGCTGGGAGGAGACGGGGGAAGACAGATGGAGCAGGGAGGTATCGAGGGGTGAGAATTCAGTTCCAAAGCCCCTGAAAGCCCCAGAGCTGGCACTGGGTCTCCTGCTGGCACTGGGTCTCCTGCGGGGGCCACAGTCCTAGGCTGACACTCACTTCTCCCCTGCCCCTGTGAGTTAGGTGAAGCCTGCTCTTTATGGAACATTCTTCCCTCACTAGAAACCTCCTGAGGCCACTTCATCACACAACTCTGATGTTTTTCTTAAAATAATTCAAGATGTTAAAATGAAATTAAAAGCCAATAGAGAGAATTCAGATCAAATCACAGGATGCTCAAGGTGGGCATCAGCAGGGAAGATTCCATTCAGCCTGGTAATAATTAACCCCCAAAAAATCAGCCCAGAAGCCAAGGAACGTCTCGGGGATTAGTGGGCTCATGATGAAGGGCCAAGGACCAGATTCACCAAGGAGCCCCATCACAGGCCTCTCAGTGGATACGGCTCTGGAACAAGAGGCCAACCACCAACTGGTATTGGTTTGTTAGTTTATTCGTCAGTTTTCTTTTTCCAATTTTTATGTCAATTGCTTGTTAGTCAATTGAGTGGGGGAACACCAGTCAGAGAAGATGTCTAGACATGTTCATATCCAGTCACTTATGGGATATTGAAGACCTGCCAGGAGGCAACGTGGTAAAGGAGAGAGTGAAGTTTGGGGTAACCAGATCTGGGCTGGCAACCTGACTCTGCTTCTTACTAGATATGAAGTTTGGATCAAGCAATTCCAACTTTCTATGCCAGACACTCCTCATCTTAAAATGGAGGAAATAATGTCAACTCCATAGGGGCGTTATGAGTATTAAATCATATAACCCATGAAGAAGTCCCAGCACAGGGAGGGACACAGCACATGTGTAGGCACACAGCGGGCACGTGAGTAATGTCAATTCTCCTCTCCTTTCCTACTTTGGGCAAAGTGTTGTGTTGGATGATGGGAAGAATGTGGAGATCAAAGTTACAGATCTCTAAGATTCCTCCAGATCAGACATTCCATGGCTCCCATTTCTAGGGCAAGTGCCGAGCCAGAGCCAGCACCATCCTTTATTGACCGGAAACTAAGGAGGAGGCCACTCGCGGGAAAGGTTGGAGACACTGAACCTCAGCTCAGCCTCTCCATTGGACACCTACTAAGACAGGGTTTTCAATCTTTTTGCGTCCGGGACATCTTCGTGAATTTGCTTCTGGGACACAGGGTGAGGGTGTCCAGTCTCCAGACAGCTGTCCACTGTTCCCCGAGTGTGCCCACACCCACAAACAACCAGAAGGTAAGAGCTGACAGGACCGCAAGGAGTCTCACTCATTGTTTTATCAATGGAGAAACTGAGCAAGTGGTAGGACTTTCCTAAAGACAAACCAATAGTAGAAGACACTAACACGCCTTCATTTGAGTCCAGGAGCTTCTCCATCACATCGTGCAGACCATCTACTCATTCACAAATTCAAACTGAGTTCCTAAACTGTGCCAGGATATAATCAGCACACACGTGTGAGGTACCCACATTGAGCCAACGTTGCCTTGACCCTGAAGTCCTAACTCCACAGACACTGTCAGATACACACTGGTGTCCTCCTTTCCCTCCCTGAGACTGCCATGTGCTGCACTGTCCTGACTAATGGACAAGGTGAGAAAACCAAGGGACCCCGGCAGAGAGCACATCTGTTGGTTTCCCCTGCCCGGCAACAGCACCTTAACTACACTTTGAGGAACCTCCTCTCCTCCAGCGCATACAGTCTGCTGGCACTGTACCTCCAGCTGCCCCACCCTCCTGCTGGCAGTGGGTCGACTCATAGCCCAAACCGGTCCAAATTCTCTCCCTTGAATTTAAAGCTTGAATATAAGAACCAAACCCTTTGCAGCAGACTGATGATGGCAGTGGCACAGAGAAGAGGCTGCCCATTCGTTCCTGCTAACTACGTGCATGTGGCAGAGACCTAGTGGTCATCTTTCCTTTGAGTCTATGAGCGGACTTCTAAGTAATTCCTTTTCTTCTTAAGTTACATAGAATTAGTTTCTGTTACTTGTACCCAACAAATCCTGACTAGTCCCCAGCCCATCCTAATATAGGGATGGGAAATAGTCAACTAAAGATGCCCACGTAGGTATTCAAGTCAGGTTACTTACCAGGTTTCTGGTACCATCCAAATGGATAGGTGCGGACCTCAGTGTCAGGAGAGCCACAGTCCAAAATACGCCAGGTTCCTCCATTTTCCTCACTGCATGTCTGAAGTCCCAAGCTGTTCAGAGTTAAGCATGTCACTTCTCCTCCTGGAGCAAGAAATAACCAGGACCAGGAAAATGATCATGACAGAAGATTCTAACTGAATGAGGGACATTCTGCCAACTCATTCTTCAGTAGACATTTGGGGTGCTCTACTATATTCCAGGTTTGATCCCAGCCTGATGAAAAACCTGGTACCTTAACGAGCTTCTGGTCTAAGAGCACAAGGATGGAGGCAGCTAATACTCATCGAGCAAGCATCATGTGTCCAGGGCTGTGCCAGGGCTCTGTCTGCATCGTATCACTTGGTCCTCACACAACCATGAGGAAAGTAGCATTTGCATCCCTATTTATAGATAAGGAAGCCAAGGCTCAGAGAGATTAAGCGACTTGTCCAGGATCACACCACTAGTAAGTGACTGAATCCAGTTTTAAATACAGATCATATGGACAGATCCAAAGTCCACCCCACCAAGCTGCCTGGCCCAAGTCTTGAAAGATGAAAAGATAGCTAAGCGAAGCACAGAGGGACAGCTACTTTGGTCATGCAGAAGTGCTATGTACAGTTGACCAGGCACTGGACCAGGAGCCATGTCCCAGCTATCACATATATCAGCCATCTCCCCTTTCCCAGCCCCCACTTCCCACCTATGGATGAGGATCTCCCCTCCCCACCCACCATGAGAAGATGCTGACAATCAGATAAGATCCTAGATCTGAACGTGCTTTCTAGACTGCGAAGTGCTGTGTGCAGGTGAGAAGGAGTTGTGATCATCATTACCTTTTAACTGGGAAACATTCAGAAAGCCAAAGCCAGTGCAGCACGGGTCCAGGTCACACAGCCGTTCACATTCGAAGAACCTGGTGAAAGAAAAGGACAAGCGGGCCTGAAGGTGTTCACTGGTGATGAGGACCTGCAGGGTGGGCTGAATTGCAGTCATTCCTACTTCCAGGGGCCTGCTTTCTTTATGACTACCTAAATTGGGGGTGCTTTGGGCAATACCCATGAGGGGATTCCTAGCTTTGAGGTTCTTTCCGAAAACAAAATTCGACTCTTTTCTCAGGCATGTTGTATTGCCATCCTTCATTCATTCACTCACTCACCATATATAGAAGCATATATTCTATCCTATTCTGTGCCAGGCTTAAGCCAAGCTAACCCTGGATCCTGAATGCATTCCTACGATCCTTTCAGATAGGGAGAAAGTCCCAGCTTTGGGCTTTGGGAAAAGAAACAAATGGTATGGAAGGCATCTCCAGAAATGGGGGATTCCATGGACTTACGGTCGGAGTGACCCAACCACGTGCCTGTTTAGGCTGCAAAGAGCTGGGATTGTTCTCCCCTCAGCTCCCCGGTAACCCACTCTGCAACACAGGCTAATTACACTCCAAGAACACGCCTTTGTTTGCTGAGTCAGTGCATCCATGCTCTCTCTCAGGACCTACTCTGCTTAATAACTCAGCAGGGCTACTGGACCCCTCTCAGTTTCTAGGACCAGTCTTGGCAGGAGGAACTTGGTGGCTCCAAACCAATACTCAGTTCTGAGTTCCTCTGTCTTGACCACATGTCCCAGTTCCGATCACGCTTTCCTGACTCCTGAGAGCTCCCTCAACCCCTCAATTCCTTTTTGGTGGGGGGACCCTGCCTCGTTCTTGCCATTCTCCTTCCCTGTCTTAGGAGGCCCTGCACCCAAGTCCCGTCCCAGTGGATAAGGCCTCCATCTCCCGGGTAGCTTCTCCGATGCTGGCTGCACCTCTGCCCTGATGCCTGTGGACCCCCTGCCCGGTGGTTCCTCTCGCAGAGCCCTGCCCACCTCCCACCCACCACTTCATTTTCCTTTCTTGGGGCCCATTGCCAAGCTCCAGCCTGGATGATATGCTTTCCCATCAGACCACCCTTCTTGGAGTCCTCCAGAGCCTGTTCCGGTTCCAACCCTCCCTCTGTGCCCCCTCCCATCAGCACAGGCGGTTTCCAGGCTGATCTCCAAACAGACTATCCCATATCAAGTTTTCATCTCCATTTTCAAAAGTAGATCTTAAACTCCAGCAACATGACACAATTTCATAAATCAACAACACTTCTTAGATCAACAATTTAAAGACCAAGACTCTCGAATTCTAAAGTACACAAAAATCTCCAGGGGGAGCTTACTTAAAATTCAGACTCTGGAGCCCAGCCCCAGGAAATGTTGATTCAGGAGGTCCAGGGAAGGACCCAGGAATGCAGTTTGTAAAAAGCCCTCCTAGTGATTCTGATGGGTGAGATCCACAGAGTAGGCTGAGAGAAAGATCACCTTGAGTGAAAACAGCTAAATAACAGCTAACTAAATAAATAATAAAATACATTTTAAAAATAATAAATAAAAAGTCTTTTAAGCCTATAGTCCTGTTAAAAGTTCTACTTGCTCTCCAGATTCTGAATGTAGTACAGTGAGATTTTGCAGATCAAGTTTATTACCGTGCTTGACAATCTTTGTTAATTGATAAGACATGGCACGATGTTTCCCTTTTGCATCAGCTGACTGGAGGTTCAGGGCTAAGTTTGTGTTTAACATCAGTAACTTTCCTTAGCCACGGTTTTTAGATAAGGTCACCTCCGTATTACATTTCACCTTTTGCTTTGGGTTTTATGCATGTGTCTTTAACTGGTATTATGTCACCTTCTTTATGGAAGTAGAAGGATCTTAATAATAAACATTGGCAGTGGGGTGAGGGGCAGGACGGAAGTAGCTTACCCATTAGACATGGATTTGTCAGACATGGGCACTTTGCTTCTAATGGAAATCCCCGTCAGTTTTTGGAATGGCAGGCGAGTGTAGAAGTTCTTCACTCTATCTTTCAGTACAACTACACAGAGGAAGAAAGAAATTATATTATTTAGGGAGAGATTTGTTGTATCCACGAAAATAGGAGGACAAATGTATACAAACCAGACTGAAAGCTTCCAATTAAATTATTACACCTACGTATCTACTCTCTGCCCCCATCCCAAATCTCACTAAAATCAAAGTAAAGGGATCCTTGTAAAGGCATACACCACGAGGATAAAGAGAATAGGAGGTGGGATATAGTAACTCAATTTTGGAAGCTAGGAAGCACACAGAAGAGTACACAATTGACTTAATAGACTTAAGAAAGCTGAATCCTCAACTTTTCTCTGGGAGGAACCAAGACACAACCCCTTACACCTCTGCAATCCCAAAAGGTTTAAGTATCAGTAGCACTGGGATGAAGGTGGGCTGAAACAGGACGGGCTAGAAATCTCTGTAAGAAGCATTTAGGGCTCCTCCTCTGCTTTCCACAACTGACAACTGTCCTCTCCCCACCACAGAAGAAGATGGAAGAGGACAAAGGAGAGAGGGTCTGTTGGGTACACCAGGTAGAGTTAATGGCGAGAGTACCACATTGAAAGTAGGGGATTCTTTCAAGTCAATCTACGTGGTGAATATTGAGACTCTTTCATCTTCCAACTTTATTTGGTACCCAAACCACTAGCAGCCAGGCTCATGTCCCCAGGCCAGATATTATAAGATTTTTGGAGAAAAGACCTAAAAATACTGACATGAGGGATTTCCCAAAGGGTAGGCCAATTAGATTATCCTACAGAAAACCTAAAGTCAACAAGATCTCACCACACACTCAGAGCTTCTCGATCAGCTTCTGGACCCCTCTCTTACATTTGAGTGGAAAACCAAGGGTGACCAGATATCTGAGAAAGGCCTCCGGCAAAGAAGAGAGAAGAGTAAATGAAGGATGACAACCTCTTGGAAGAAATGTGGACTGTGCAGGATGAAAAAAACTCCAAAATAATAGTGTCGTAATGTCCTCAGAGAGAAAAATCAACTTCCACTTTGTTACAGCCACTGTGGTTGGGATTTTCTGTAATATACAGCCAGCTGGAATTCTAACTGCTGCGTGCATTAACAGTGGCTTTCTCTGGGGAGTGGGATTCCAGAGCAGGATTACTCTCTATAGTCAACTTGCTGCATTTCTGAATAGTTTCACATCTCTACAAGGAGGATGAACAACTTTATTTTAAAAGGAAGAAGAAATTAACCTGATATTTCTGAAACCACAGAGCCAGAAGCCAATGGGAAATGCAGTTGGTGCAGATCCCATCACAAACTCACCTTTCTTCCGGAACAGGGCCCCCGGACTGTGGGGCAGGATGAGTCTGCAGCCCTTGGGAGTGGACTCCAGGACATCATCACACACCTGGGCCTCGGAGTAGAGGATGCAGGTGAAGTACAAGGGTGCACTGTCTGTTATCTCTGCCAGCCGACAGAAAGAGGGCTCCTGGACACAGCCTGCCAGCAAGAGAGCAGTGGATTTTAGTCCCTGGGGGCCTGCAGAGGAGAGTTACTTCTGCAGGACCTTCTGGAAAGGAATGCCCCGTAAGGATTCTTCCCAGGCAGGACAGAGGCCCAGGTCAGTTGAGGCTATCCAGTCTGGGAGGCCCAAGAAAAACACTAGGTTTCTGCTAGCTGGGGAGAGGGTCATGCATGAAACACGGAGTATGTGTGGCTCTAAATAAAGACAAAATCTAAGAGGGTTAAGGGTGAGCAGTAAACCCAGCAATACAGGAGGAGAGGGGGTAAAATTCCACTGGATCTACCCAGGCCCATCTCAGAGGCAGCCGGGATCTTCAAACCACAGGCCATAGGACTGTAAAAACTTTGTGAACGATCTCTCCTGCTCCCACTCCCATGTCAGACTTTGCCACTGCTGTGTATGAGTTCCCTAATGGGGAAGGATCATGATTGATTCAGTTTTTTTTGTTTTCTCATCCCCAAGGTCAAACACAAGGCCTAGAACACAACACATCCTCAGTAATTGCCTGTTAGGTAAAGGATAGATGGATGGATGGAAGGAAGGAAGGAAGGAAGGAAGGAAGGAAGGAAGGAAGGAAGGAAGGAAGGGTGGGTGGATGGAAGGAAGGAAGGATGGATGGATGGATGGATGGATGGATGGGTGGGTGAATGGATGGATGGATGATAGGTTCTGGGAGCAAGTTGATATTAACTACACTATGAGCTTCCTGAAGATATGGGAGATGTCCTGTCTATCTTCTGTCTCATCCATGGTACTAACACTGAAGTGATCCCTGAGCTATGCCATTGAGTTTAATCTTATCTGTCCTCAAGAGTTGTTAAACTAGGCCTGCAATGCCTGACGACAGAGTGGGGAAGAAGAAGGATGAAGTCTAAGCATACTTACGAGAAAGGCACCATAGGTTTGCCTGCTGAGGTGAAAATAGGTGTTTGAAAAGCCAGTGCTGCTGGCTGGGCAGGGACTGGTTTCCGTTGACAATGACCTGGTTAAGGTCCACAGGAGAGAAAAGGTCTGTTGTCAAATCTGAAAAAGAAGGAGGGAGTCAACTTATTTTGTATTACATCGTGAATCCCTCTCTCTCTCACTCACACACAGACAAACACACACACTTTCAGGCTATATTAGGCCAGAGCAGATCTAGAGTCAATAGGGCTGGGAGTCTGGTCAGGCAGGAAGGTTTCAGAAGGTCCTAGAAAGTCCTAAAAATTATGGAGTTGCAAAATCTTAGAATCTTGGTTTGGAAGAAACCTTGGGAGCCATCCAGTTCAAGTCTTCTCCCAAGGCAGGACTTTTCCCCACCATACCCCTGGCTGACGTCCTTGTAGTCCCATGTGACATGCCTGGGCCCACCACAGCAACCCACTCCACCGTTAGGAAGTTGTGGAGTCAAATCCATCTCTCTGTAACTTTGAACCACTGATGCTCCTTCTGTCTTCTGAAGCCATGTGGAAGTCCTATCTCCCTTCCAAACAGCAGCCTTCATCTGTGAAGACAGCTTTCAGCTCTGCTCAGCCCCAGACTTGAAAGTTCCAGCCTGACCATTCCCCAGTCTTTCCTTGTGTCTTCATACGCCATGATTCCTGGCTTAAGGCTCTTCCTGGGCACTCCACTGCCTAAGGATGGAAGTCCAAGCTTTCTTCTCAATCCAGGCTCTACCTGCATTTTGAGCCTCATCTCGATTGCCTCAACTCCCACTCCAGAAGCATGCAAATGCTAGCAGTTCTGGCTCATCACTACACTGCTTGCTGCCCCAGGACTATTGCCCGTGCTCATGCTCCATTTACACTCTTCTTCTTCACCTACCTAGTCCTCCTGTGATTCAAGGATCAGTGCTGCTCCCTCCGGCTCTAATGTTCGATGGCTCTATAAAGAGGTTCTCCAGGCCCGAGAGACCCAACATCCCAGGCCCAGGGGTGGGAGGATGTTTCTGCACCTCATGAGGGCTCTGACTTTCCAGAAGGGCTTACACTGGGGCCATGAAGCAGTTCATGGAGAGGAGCTGAGGCTTGTTTACAGTGTCCCTCAGCTTGGGGCTCTGGCACAGGGGCATTACATCCCACGTACGCCTCACTGTGCCTTGGACTGGTGCATCCTCTCAGCAGCCCACCTTGCAGGCTCCATAAAGCTGGGTCTTGAAGACTGAGCTTCTACACCAGCAACAGCACCAAAGGGGATAAAAGCTTTACTAGTGTATGGCAAGGCCAGAAGGTTAGTGCCGGCAGAGACCCCGGGGACTACGTTGCCGCCCCCTCCTCTGTGCTGCCCCAGTGCTTTGAGTTATTGCATCTCACGTTATTGTAAACAGCCAGATTGCACGCCTGTCTTCCGGCTGAACGATGCCTGGCACAAAGTAGGACAGCACAGATCAGCTTTTAAGACAGCAGAGGAAGGAAGAAAAATGACATAACAGGCCTACAGGCACACTCGAAGTTTTTTGAATCTCACTTTGCCCTCAAGCCTCTGCACGGGCTGTTCCCCTTACCTGGAACACCTTCTCCAGATGTGCCCTGGAAGTGCCTGGAAGATCCTTCCAGGCTCCTCTGAGACACCTTTCCTGACTCCTGCAGTCTGCCTAGCATTCTCCCTCCCCTGCATTCCCACTGCATTTGACACCTGTCCCCATTACAGCCCTTGCCACGTTGTCCTGCAGTGGCTGGCATGTGGGAATTGTCACGAGTCTGTGAACATCCCAGGGCACAGTACACGTGCTCGAAAAATGTCTGGTGTATGTCAGAATGAAAACGGCAGTCACTCAATTTACACCTGGTTTACATGCCATATGAAGAATTCATTTTTTTCTTGTTCTCTCAAAACTTTGCACTCCCCTTGAAGGCACGGAGGCCAGTACAGGGCTTGCCAGATGAGAGGCTGTTGTTGTTGGCTTCCCTGTGTGTGTTTCAAACACTCAGACTAATTGGAATAACCCGACACAGAAAGGGGGAGATTCCTCACTGTGATTTGAATCAGGGAGGCCATTCTCGGGGACGCCAAGGAGCACAGGCCAGGTAAATGAACACACAGAGAAGCCACTGGGCCCCATCGCGGAGAGTGGATCAAAGCGTTTCTCCATAGGGACGTTATCTTCAGTCCAGGAATGTAATCAGCTGAGAAGGGGAAAACCCAGCCAAGCTTTGTCTATTCACCCTGAATCCCTCCAAGGTCTTGGACGGGGGCCCAGCTCCTCTTCTGGTGAGGGAGGAAAGGGGGAGAGGGATCCTTTCTATGGAATCATGTGACAGTTTTGTAGAGGCAGCCCTGGCATAGTGTATAATGATGGATTTTACACAACGTTCTCAAGTGCCATGAAATCATTCACATCTACATTGCCACGAGCTGTATGGCTGCTGCTGAGAGGCCTTGCTAAGGTTGGGGATGGCAAATGCAAATGCCCTGGGGCAGGAGGGGCCTGAGTGTAAGGCACTGGGTGGGGACCCAGGCAACAGGAGAGCCACGCCCTGATGGAAGGGGGAAGCTCAACTCCGCTCAGAGGATTGTCGCCAGGCAGAAATTTGAAGCCAGTGTTGCTAGAGCTTTTCCTCTGTTTTTCTCTACAGAAGCTGGAAATCTGAATTTTCATATAAAATCTCCCCATTTAAAAATATTGGCTCAGTAAAAAAAAGTAAAAGTCCATTCTACAACTCAAACAAAATCCGTCTGCTTTGTCGGCCAGGGTCCACCAGGACTCAGCTCTCAAGCCCATGCGGTCTGCACCTGGGAGCAGCTGGTGTTCTAGAATAACCCAGGCTTCAGAGTCAGTTGCCCATGGTTTGAATCCTGATGCTGCTACTTACTTAGTGCTGGACTTAAAAAGGGAAACTGAGGCACATTAAGTCCCACGTTGTTTCTCATTGGTAAATGGGAATAATGACCCCCATCGGCCGAGTTGTCATAACGTTTGTGAGATGATATATATAAAGCACCATATGCAGAGCCTGGCACCCAGGAGGTTCAAGGCAGGACTTGCTTTCCTCTGCTCCCCTTCCTGGTGGGTTCTGAACTCATCCTTGCTCCAGCGGGAAAGTGATGGCTGGCAGCGGGTAAACCTGAACGCTGGCCCTGTGCTTGGGAGGCTCCCAAGGCAAAACCAATTTGCCAATTTGTTATCGTGAGCAAAGATCAGAAAGGTGAGGGGCCAGGTCATTATGCAGAAGGGACCCAGTCAAATGCTAGCTTATGAGAATAAAGAGGGGGACCTTCCTGAGCTGGTGCCCACCCACCTGCTTCCATCACTCTGCCAGCAAAATTGAAGCCTCAGTGGAAAACCTCTAAAGGCGCAGAAGACATCACTGCTAAGAGGCATTTGGATAGGAACATGCACTGTGACCTGAGTTTTGACCCCATCAGCTGAGACCTGCTATCTGACAGGCAATACAGGAAGAGAGATGGAATGAAGACAAAACCTTATGGAAGGCCTGCTCTAAGCCAGGCTCCGTGCTGGGATCATAAACACCAATGCCACCACTACCACATAATAACAGCCATCAATTTCTGAGCCTTTGCTCTGTGCTACTGCAGTGTACAGAATTAGCTCCTCTAATTCCCAAAGCCACCCTATCTCACGGATACTGCTATTACTCTCATTTACCAAAGGAGAAACTGAAGCTCAGAGACGGGGACTCGGGGCTGCAGAGGCAAATAGGGGCACAGCTGGGATTCAAACCCTGCTCTCCTGACCTGAGAACCCGCACTCAAGGCCAGGACACACTCCCCGAGTCCCACAGCCACTCTATGAATGCAGAATGAACTCATATTGCCAAACAGCTACTATGGGATGAGCCCCATTTTTGGTGGTTTACATACATCATCTCATTTGATCTGCACAAGAGCCCTGGAAAGGAAAAGAAACTACCATTTTGAGGGTATTTGTTAAGTACCAGGCAAGTGCCAGGTGTGTTCCTGGCATGTCATCTAATGGGATCAGAGGAAAGCAAGATACGTTCTACACACTAGGAATGGAGGCTCTCAGCAGGTGAGCAAAGCACCCACGGCCGTGCAGGTGGTAGTAAGTGGCAAAAAGTGGCTGAAAACCTAGACTATCTGCTTTGCAGTGTGGTGCTTCTTCCATTGCACCATGATGTCTCCCTGCGCCAGCCCACCAATCTGCCTCCCCTCTCTCCTCTCCTTCCCTTCTCTTTCTCTCTCTCGTCCTCCTCGTCCTCCTTCTCTTCCTTCTTTCTCCACCTTCTCCTCTATTTCTTTCTCTCTCTGAGTTCTAGCTTCATCTAAGTAATACCAACTGTAGACTCTGGGGATAGAGAAGTCTCAGACATCGCATACATTCTTCCCCTATTAATGTGTGGATTTATATCTTCCACTTAAAATGACTCTCTCTCTAAAGACTCTTACAGACATCTCCTTCATTAAACCACTCCATAGTATTTACGCTTTGCTTACACTCTTCAGGGTTTACCTAAGTGAAGCCACTGATCGCAGTCAGATTAAACTTGCTCTTTAATAGTTTTTGCTGGTTTTGTTATTATGGTTGTTTTCTTTTCCAGCAGTGGTGGTGATTTTGCAATGATTTTGCCTTACTTTCTGTGCCAACTGCCCCTCTGAGGAGCTGTCCATATATATGAAATGGATAACTGGGTTAGAAGCTTAGAGAGGAGTCTGTGGCTACAGAATGGAGCAATGTTGACGAATCCATTCATTGATTAGACCCTTGGCATCACCATCTTGTCTCCACAGCCAGACACCCAAGTATATGAAAAGGTTTAGGGGTTGGTACCTGTTTCTGTTGGAGAGGTTGGCCTTGGTTCCATGTCTCTTCTACATCCCATAGACTCAGACCGAGACCCCATGTCAGAATCTAGGAGGGAAAAAAGGATTGTCATTCTAATGTTGGGGAGGAAAAGAGGAGATATTCCTCTGGTCAACAGAATGGTAATGGCAACACGGGAAATCCTCATGGTCCACAGCCAGCTGCCCAGGACAAGATCCGGCACAAATCCAGCGGCATAGGTCTGCACAGACTGGCCTTTTACGAAACATCCGCCAACTTCTTGGAACAATTATTGTCCTTAATATTGAAATTATTAACATTTTCAAAGAACTTTAGAATTAACAAAATATGTTCCTAAATATTGGTCTTTACAACACCCTGTGAAGGTAGGGAGTAAGATTTCCATTTTACTCTTGAGAAAACTGAGACTCAGACACGTGAAATAACTTATCCCAGATCATGCAGGTGGTAAGTAATCAGAATTTGAAAAATTAAATAAAATTCCCATGTTGGGAACAGGTGTCCCACAACAGCAGGGTCAGCCTAGGGGGAGAACAGGGTATGACATAGGTCTTTGGGTTCTTCTGTTTAGTGGGGCAAATGTCCTGGGGAGAAGCAATTCCTTACTTTTTCATCAGAAAACACCTTATTTACCAGAAATTTCTGATAAGTGGGAAGCATTGGACTTGGAACCAGTGTCTGGATCCCACCCCCAGGACATCCCCTGGGCATCTCACTGAGCCTATCCAAGTCTCATTTTTCTCGTCTGAAAAATGAGCCAATGTCACCCCCTCTATTACCCACCTTACAGGTAGGACTACATGAGAAAAGAAGTGTATAATCCCACTGTATCACCTCAGAATGAAAATGATGATGAGCATCTGCCTTTCCTTTTTCTCCTCCCTCTCCCTCCTTCTTCTTTCTCCTTCTTCCTTCTCCTGCTCTTCATCCATCATCATCACCACCGCTACCACCAGCACGAATAATTAGCATTTGTTATGCACTGGGCCCTGCTCTAAGTACTTTACACGTGCTACTGTGCCAAGCTCACACAACTCGATGAGGTATGTGCTATTTTTATTGCCATATTACTCACGGGGAGTCTAGGCTTACAGGGGCTAATTGATGTGTTCAAGGTTGCACAGGTGGTAAGGAAAGGAACCAGAATTCATACCCATTCACTCTAAGTCCACGCTGTGCTCTTTCCCACTATTTCACTTTACAAGCATAGAAACAGGTCACCAGTCCCAACAGGGGACTGGAAATCGGTGAGGAGCGATCATGGGAAGAGGAGGGAAGTGATATAGGGCTGAGGATATTTCTTCACGCCTTTCACTTGGCACCTATGGCCGTGACATGTAATGGCCCACTGCCCATCTGCTCCCTCCTGAGGCTGGACCCCTTACGGGTCAAGGCTGTGCTTCACTCGTCTCTCTCATCCCCTGTTACTACGACTCATCCCAAATGCCTTTCACCATCCCTGGCTCTGAGCAGGCACTTAGTCAATGTTCAGTAAACTCAGAGTATGACAAACAAAGCAGAAAGGAGATGCCACATGTGCATTTTATCCGAGCCCCAACCTGTCCCATGCACCCACAGCAGCATTTTCTCTAAACAGGAGACCATGGCAAGACCACCTGGGTCCTGCCCCCTCACCCTGACCTCAGAGAGAGGCATCCGTGGCCGAGGCCCTTGGAGAAACGCCTCGCACAGTCTCCAGCGGCCACCGAGCTCCCAGCCCAGTAACAAGGGCAGCTTATGGTCAGCGAACTTGATTTCACAGGAGCCACTGTTTCCTTCCTCCACATTTTCTTGGGTGTTCACACTTTCATTTTTGTTTTAGACGTTGGTATCTTACCTGATGAGACCTGGGGCCCTTGTCCTCCACACAGAGCACTCACTTAAAAAGTAAATCTCTACATTTTCCTCTCTGGGGGACACAGTGCCCTGTGAATGGGAGGTGGGGCCAGACAGTCTCAGGTGGTCTGTGTCCTGCTCAGCCCCTCCACCACAGAGCTTACCTTTCCAGAGATACACCTGCTGGAAACTGATAAAGGTGTCCTGAGCTCCTTCCGGGGGTGTCAGACCTGCAAAGGAAGGTGTTTGTGTTTATGAGCTTGACTGTGCTTGCTCCAATGGGGGACCTACCATGACCACAACTGCCTCCCCTCCCCACACCGGGGCCTCCTGGACCTGAGAACTCTATTTCCCACACAAGGTGCACCCCCAAAAAGAGACTCCCTTGGAGCTCTCTTCCAGATCCCTGGTACAAAACCAGAGCCGGTCAGACCCCAGATACCTTGCTCAGGGCACCAAAAGGACTATTGTAGTGAGGGGTTGTGAATCTGTGACACAGAGAATCACATAGGGAACTGGAGATTGGCTTAAAGAGAACAAAGCTCTAGGAGCCTCGAGAGCTGTGTCAATTTGCCGTGTCACTTAAGTCCCCTGAGAGTCTTGCCTTATTGGCCAATGGGGATGGTAATTGCAAGGACGGGAATAATGTATAGAAACTGCCTTCTGCAGTCCTCAACATTTGATATGCACCGTATTATGGTAGCCGCCATTTTGCCATTTGCCATGCCATTTCTTTATGGTCAAGGTTGCTTCTCTTGCCTCTGTTCAGCCTTAAGATCTTGCCAATTCCCCCTGTGACCTGAAAGGCTGACAGAAGAGCTCAGAAAGCAGAGTCTGGAGGCAAACAACCCAGAGACCACTGCAGGAGACAGCTGTTCACAACACAAGACATCAAGAAATGATCACATTTTGCTGTTAATTATTATTAAGAGCCATGTATTATGATAGCCAATTATTATTAAGAGCCATTGCCCAGCACCATAATGAGCACCTTCGAGACAGTTTCTAATGTAAACCTCAGAGGCAGGTGTTTTGTCCCCAATTTCCAGGTGAAGATCAAAATCCAGAGAGGTTAATGCCAGAATTCAAACCCCACCTGTTTGGCTCCATGTTCCATGCTCTTAATCACCACACTAAGGAGCCGATAATATATTTTAGAATTCTGTCCATCCAAATGGCAAACATTTGTAAAGGTTCTGGTGTTTAAAAGGTTCAGTTAAACACTGAACTATCTGGAAAACTCAGCTATTGAAGTGATGAGTCCCTGGAGGATGACCATGCTTATGCCTGGGGTGAGCCAAAAAATACTGAGTTCCACTTTCATTTAGTTTTGCCCCTGAAATGGAAACAAACAATGATGCTAGAACTTCTCAGGCTGCCCGATATTGGGATAGCACGTCTCCTTAAAAGACTCCCTCACAATTCTCTCATAGCCCTCTTCAGAGGGTGGGAGTCATTTACAAAAATTTAGGGAAGTGAAAACCTATGATATCTGGGAGACCTACACTTGGACCTCTGAAACTCGAAGACTTACTGTACCCACTGCAGAGGAGACTGCACCGTATACTATTGTGTATACTCTTGTGACACCAACACAGAGCAGGGGCTGTCTGCTCAGTTTGTGTTCTGGTTTCACAATCTCTTCGGGATAACATTTGCTTATTATGAAGGTCAGGATAGAGGATTTTGTACCTTGTCACAAGAGACAGTAGAGAATTTATTTTAAACATTTTTTTATACCCAAATATATTTGGTATACTGACTCTTTCAAGTTATACATATAATACTCTTTATTATTTATTATTATAATTATATGTAATTATAATATATCACACATATTATATATAATATACATAATTATTATATACATATAATATGTAGATATATTTTGGGGCAACATAGATGTAAAGTAAATAAAATTTTCAAAATAGTTTAGGCCATTCGTTATGATTCTTATTTAGTCTGTGGAAGTTGGAGAAATGACATCTTATCTCTAGGGTGCTTTATTGCTCTCAAATCTAAGACTAAAACCAACAACCACTTTAAGACATAGTTTACCATGGGCTAATACTGAGCATTTAGATTATGGACCCTCAATAAATATTAGTTTACATCCCCACACTTGCCCTTCCCAAGAGCAATACCCCTTTAGGATTATCATAATCCTTTAAGGAATCCAAGAGAAGGGTCTCGCCACTCAGCTGTCCCCATTTCTGACTCGGATGAGTTGGTGAGCCTTTCTTGTTCTGCGGAATATCTTGTTTGTGCCTGGTATGTGTGCCCTGCTTTGCATAGAGTGGAAAGGAAAATCATACGTGCCCTCCATTGCCCAGAGAACAGCGGGTGCACCACACAGGTGCACACAGGTTTTACTATGTATTTTTGGCCCAGAACGCACTGAGCTGTGATAGGAACAGGATATTTTTATATACTTTTTGTCCATCTCAAGACAATGGAGCCCTGTGTCTTCCAGCCTAGAAAATATGGTAAGGCTTAACCCCGTCCTCGGTTTTTGCTCATTTCAACACAATTCAATCCAATCCAATGGAATTCAGTTAAATTCAGCACATGGGGCCGGCCCCGTGGCTTAGCGGTTAAGTGCGCGCGCTCCACTACTGGCGGCCCGGGTTCGGATCCCGGGCGTGCACCGACGCACCACTTCTCTGGCCATGCTGAGGCCGAGTCCCACATACAGCAACTAGAAGGATGTGCAACTATGACATACAACTATCTACTGGGGCTTTGGGGGGAAAAAAAAAAGGAGGAGGATTGGCAATAGATGTTAGCTCAGAGCCGGTCTTCCTCAGCAAAAAGAGGAGGATTAGCACGGATGTTAGCTCAGGGCTGATCTTCCTCACAAAAAAAAAAAAAAAAAAAATTCAGCACATGAATCTTGAGCATTTCAGTAGGCCTAGAAGGTCACCTGACCTTTGAAGGTTACCAACAATCTATAGATTGTTGTATCCTGGGAAGCGTCTTTGTTAATCACCACAATGAAAGTTATAACTCCTTGGTGGTTTTAATTATTAAAATGGTTGCCAAGTCTCCATAGGAATGCATAGAGAACACTGAGGTAAAAGAAATGATATTGCCCTTTTTCCTCTTACCTTCATCATCTCCCATCCCCATCTCTACATCCAAACTCACCTCCTCCTATGCTCTCTAAATGGGTTGATGGTACCACCTTCTTCCTGGTCACCCTCTCAGAATCATCCTTATTTCCTCCCTCTTCATCAATCTCCATACAGGCCATTTCCTCAACTGTTCTTAATTCTACCCCCCTTCTGATCTGTCCCTCTTAGCTCAGGCCTCATCACATATTCTAACATCTATGATCTGATTCCTGACAATCTGAACAGCCTCATGCTCAGCTCGGTCTCCAAGACCCCCATCTTCCCAGTCACATCTAATGCTTGCTTAGAGGCCTCTGCACCACTGCATGTACTTTTTCTCTCTGCCTAGAACCCTTGCCCCCTTTCACTTGGTTAATCTCTACTCGTTCTTTAAGAATGGGGGTCTGTATCACTTCTTTCTAGAAGGCTTCCCTAAACCCTCTGCCTGGATTTGCATAGCACTAAACAAACACCTCTATCTTTAATCTCACACTTAACAATAATTGTCCAGCTCCTGGAATGTAACACAGCTTCTGAGGTTGGGAACTGGGCCTTATTCCTCTTTATATCACCCACCCTAGCATAATTCCTGCTACAGAATTGGGGTTCAGTACATTAATGAATGCAAGGGGGAGTGAATGAGGGAAACAAAGCAATCAATGATCCTCAGAGCCCACCAAGTAAACACAGAGCATTGTCTTCCCAAGCTCAAGAAGGCTGACCACCAAGTTAGTTTTCCTAATGCAGACTTCCGACTCATCCCTCCATTCCCCAAAACTTCCCCAGTTCAACATTGTTGATTGTGAGAAGGTATATAGAACCGAAGCAAACATTATTCCTCCTCTTCCCTGCTAAACAACGTTTTAAGGAAGAGAGTTTAGACTGTCCAAACATCGGTCCCACTCCTTCCACAATAACTGAGTTAGAACATCCCTGTTATACAAAGAAACTCGGACTCCTTCTGCTCTCTCTGTATTCCAGGCTGCGGGAACACACTCCCATTTAGAACTGTGGGGGTTTGGTGTGGAGCCTGATTCTTCAGGGTTGATGAGTGTTGTGTGGTCTTAATTTACTTCAGAACACTTCTGCAGAGATCATGTGCTGTATCTAGAGTGGTTAGTTTTAATCTACAACCCTGGAGAGGGAAGGATCCTAAACTGGAAAATCCAGGTTTCAGACTCTCCCTTTTCTTGGCTATCTTCTCTTCTTTGTATCTCTTCCCCTATGTCTCTACTTACATTCCTTACCCATCCTAAGTAAGCTACACTCCAGCACCCTTATCTCAGGCTCTGCTTGGTGCTAAGCACATGGCAACACACAAGCAATGATAGCTACTGTAAAGAACTAATAGGGTTACTTTTACATGGTCCATCCTATTTGTAGGTACTCATCAGACATCTACTCACGTGCATCTGGTGACAATGAGTATCATAGATGCCTTGTAAGTTTCTCCACCTAGATCCCAGCTCCCCAAGATGATGACCATCACTGATACAAAAAAGACTGCTGTAAAGGGAATGTCAGCCATCAGGCTGAGCCTCACCATTGCTCAACAACATGAAGCCTTGGGATTCAGGATGAATCCAGGAGTATTTCTGCCAAGGCCTGTTTTTCCTATCAACTTTTAAGTCCCTGTGGGGATTAGGGGATATGTAATCTGCCTGTTTTTCATTTATTGCACTTCAAGACATCATCAGCAATGAGCCATGTGCAGTCCCAGAGCTTTCTAAGCCTTTTTTCTTAGAGCTAGGAAGATCAATCCAGCCAATACCAAATAGTTGAAAACATCCAGAGGAGCCTATTGGAAATTTGGGAGATGAAGACCCTGGGTGGGATCCTCTCTTGAGAACACATGTCAATGCATGCACAAATGTTAAACAGAAATCAGATGACAGGAAAGAAAAACATTGCAGCCAGGAAAAGCATTGTGCCTTGGGGGGCGGAGTCAAGATGGCGGCGTAGGCAGACTCTGAACTC